GCTTGGTCTTCTAGTTCTCTGTGTCTTGTTAGCTGTGCCCCTTTATCTGAGTTGTTGTAAGTTTTTTTGGGCTATATGGCCATTTTCTAGAGGCATTCTCTCCTGACGTTTCGCCTGCATCTATGGCAAGCATCCTCAGAGGTAGTGAGGTCTATTGGAACTAGGAAAATTGGGTTTATATACCTGTGGAATGACCAGGGTGGGACAAAGAACTCTTGTCTGTTGGAGCTAGGTGTGAATGTTTCAACTGGCCACTTTGATTAGCATTTGATGGCCTGGCAGTTTTTTGGTGTGGCTTGTTAGTGCCTGGGGAAATCTTTTGTTGAGAAGTGATTAGCTGTCCTTGATTGTTTCCTCTCTGGAGTTTCCCTGTATTTGGATGTTGTTTTGCTGTTATAATTTTAGAGTTTTTTAAATACTGGTAGCAAGATTTTGTTCATTTTCATGGTTTCCTCCTTTCTGTTGAAATTGTCTACGGAGAGGATATAGACAAAGGTGGGTTCAGTTCATCTTGGAGGAGGTGGGGTTTGCAGATTCTTTTTGCAGGATCTGCCAAGGTGCTTCTTTTCTAACTTGGGTGATGGTGAATTGGATGTTTGGGTAGATGCTGTTAAGATGGCCCAGGAACCTGTTTAGTTCTTCTTCTCTATGGCTCCAAATGGTGAAAGTGTCATCCACATATCTGAACCATACAGTGGGCTTTTTTGTTGCTGTTTCCAGGGCTTGTTTTTAAGTGTTCCATGTAGAAATTTGCTATGACTGGGCTGAGAGGGCTCCCTGTAGCTACTCCATCTTTCTGTTTATAGAATTCATTTTATCATCGTTGTCTTTGTTTTTACGTTGTATTTCCAGTCTTGATATATTCCTTTATGGGGCTGTCTCTCTGTAACATTGTTTCTCTGGGGTTTTAGCTCACTCTTCCCGAGCTTCCGCCCTTCTCCTCAATGGTTTGTTTGAAGTTTTCGCTGCTTTTCCTTTGTTCTGCCTTTTCCTCGGCGTTCCTGGTATCTTTCCACTTCTGCCCTTAGATGCTCTTGTTGTCCTACCTTCCTCCTCATCCCTTCCGGGTGCTTATTCCTTTAAACTCCTCCCTCTCAACTTGTGATTGCTTATGAAGAAGCTCCTCTTAGATTAAACAATGTGGCATCAAGGTCATCCTTTGTTAGCCCTTTAATTAATTAATTAATTAATTAATTATTCTTTAATTTGGGGGAGTACTTTTTCCCAGGGTTAAGAGAGCACTAGTATTGCAATTAATTGTTCAGGGTCAATTGATTTATTTAATATTGTCTTTCCCACCAGGCTTAATAATAATTAATTATCAGATTCTTAATTCCCATATTGGTTATTCCGGTAATCCAATCTTGAGGTTTGAAGTTTATCTTTAAGATTAATTAGTTCATAGTTCATAATTAAGGTTCACTGAAAGATCAATTCATTGTTTGCTGTAGTTCATTAGTTCTGTGTTGGTCTATTTGCTTCAATAGACGGATTGCCCGTACGCTTCAGTTTAAAATTTATTAACATATTTTTCTCATGCTCTTTTCCAGCTAAGATTCTTATTTTTGTGTTTTTAGTTATTACTTAACATGGGGAGGGTTGGTGGATGTTGCAAGTCACAGCTTGCTCCCCATGGAGCGGTCCATCTCACCCATGGCTCTCCTTGGACCCTCTTGATCACCCTCCATTAGGGGATATCTTTGGGGTCTTCAGGACTGACTGCTGGCCTCGTGACACTCCTGATCTCGATCTGTCAGGGGTGGAGAGCTGAAAAGCTAGACCAAACCACTCAATATGTGCTTTCCTTACCAAGAGCTTTCAGTAAGACAGTCCCACCGCCATTGACCCCTCCGGAAGTTCAAGATATGCCGATTTTGTGCCCCAAAGTTTGTTCTGCATTGGGGTCCTTCTACACAGCCCTATATCCCAGAACAGCAAGGCAGAAAACCCCCAAATTATCTGAGTGTGGACTCAGATAACCCATGTTACTGATTTCCCTCAAAATGTTTAAACATCAGTTCCCTTAATTCGTATACATGGCAAATCACTGAACCTCCTGAGTGTCAGCATATCTCTGAGGGCCCTTCCACACAGCCATATATCCCAAAATATCAAGGCAGAAAATCCCACAATATCTGCTTTGAACTGGGTTATCTGAGTCCATACTCAGATAATGTGGGATTTTTTGATATCCTGGGATATAGGGCTGTGTGGACGGGCCCCTAGTGTAGTAGAAGTCTTGTCCCCATTACTTCACAAATATGAGCAAATAATCTTGATTTAAGAGGTCTACTTTTAGTGTAACCACTTTGTCTATATCCTTTTAAATTACGTTTCCAATGGTTGGCGTGACTACTGATTAGTGCTTTGTGATGTAAAAAGCAATGAGCAATCACCACCATGTTTTAATTCTCTTTCTTTGTTAAAGCTATAAAACCTGTTGTCGAACCAAACTTTAAATGCACCGTCTGTACTTAGTCCTATACAATTTAATAATTGCAAATAATTTTCTTTAATGAAGCAGTCTAAAATTTAAATATTTCTTCACCTCTAGTTGAATTTCTGGTCAATAAGTGGAATCAAAATGAAATCAAGGCTATGGACATGATCACTACCAAACTTCCTCTCTAACCCTTAACTAATCAGTCTCCATGTTATAAAGAAACCCTCAGGGAAATGAAGGATAACAAGTAGAGCGCAGATGGCAGACAAACCCACTTCTATGCGACAAGACACAATATAGAGGACAGCTCAATTCCTATAAAAGTGCCAATATGTGTAACGAAAAAAGCTGTCTTCTGTGAACTTATTGCGTCTGTGGATTCACATCCAGCGGAGCTCCTCAAAAAAGTGAGAAATTTAACTCAGGTACCCTGCCCTTTGAATCCATTATTACGAGGGTTATCCAGAAAGAAAAGGTACAATATATTTCAAAAATACAAAAAATGAATATATTTTAATAAAACTTACATGGATTGTAGCATAGATATTACATTATTTTTTCCTCATAATCACCATTCAGTTCAATACATTTTGTCATCTATAGGATGAGTTTTTGATACCTGGGTCAAATGAGGATGCTCATCTCTAATGACTGGCACTGCTCATTCACTTCTGTTAGCTTCCCGCTACACAACAGTGATACTAACTTCCCCTGCAAAAAATCCTTGTGAGAGCTACATGCCTTGTAACCTTACTTTTCAGATAACCCTTGTAGAGCCTTCCATCACTCACTGTGATGGCTTTAATACACTTTTTTGCAGATAATATTTCTCTCATAAGAGCTGACTTGGATGCCGTCATTGAAGCAGAGGTTAGTTATATCCAGCAACCCTGTGATTACAATGGATCAATTTCCATTGGTAGGTATTATTGATGTTGACAAGCTGCTCGGACAAGTAAGGACAATCTACTTTCTTGATTCCTGTCCGTCTTGGCTAGTCATCCAGGGAGGAGATGCAATTCAGTTTCCATACAACAGCATTCCGTACAACATTTCTCAGGGAAGGAAAGTTTCCAATGTATTTAAAAGAAGCAGTAGTTAGACCATTGGTGAAAAAGCCCTTCCTGGATCCTCCGGACCTTTTACATTACAGATGAGTCTCTGTCCTTCCTAGTTTGGGCAAGGTCGTTAAGAAGGCAGTTGCTCTCCAACTCCATGCAGTCTTGGATGGAATACACTTCTTTGATGGAATACATTTCATTTCAAACTGGCTTCAGAGCAGGATATGAAGTTGAGACTGCTATGGTTGTCCTAGTGGATTATCTACACCTTAATACTGACAGGGGGAGTGTGTCCTTGTTGGTGCTTCTAGACCTCTCAGTGGCTCTCGATACCATCAACCATGGTATACTTCTGAAATGCCTGAGGGGAGGGGGCAGGGTTGGGAATCGAAGGCACTATGTTGCAGTGGTGCTGGTTGTACCTTGCAGGCCGGTTCATGATGGAGGTGCTCAGAGACAGATGTTCCTCGAGGAAAGAACTCTTCTATCCCCAATGCTTTTTAAAATTTACATGAAAAGGCTGGGAGAGATAATCTAAAAACATGGGGTGAGATACTATCAGTATGCTAATGACACCCAAAAAACATTGCTCTAGGTCTTCAAAACCAGCTTTACCTAAGGATAAATAAATCTGTATATGTTTTAAATAAATGGTTTTAGTGTAAATGAATATAAGAGGTTACCCTAGGCCTATGGGGTGCCTATTTAGTTTATCCAGATCCTCTCTGCCTCTACCAGCTGTTGGGGTTCCTGGGGAAAACATCCAAATGTTTTGAGGAAATTATTTTTTTTGGCACGCCTTTCTTGCTTGCACATTTGTGATAAAATCTGCAATCTAAGGTGCAAAAGGCAGTGCCTATTCACTGGTTCTGATTTGTGTACAGGTTTTAATGCATTGCATTCATGTTGGTAAAAAAAAGGATAGAGTCAATAAGCTTTAATTCATTTTATTGAGGCAAGATAACCTATTTGTTGCCAAGGAATTTGAACAGACAAAAATTGGGTAGAAATCTTTATGAAGAACTCTTTATAAATTTTTCCAATCGTGCATTCGCACTGTTAGTCTGGCCTCCTGCAAATGTGCATAAGAAATTAAAACAAAGAATTAGAACACTTCCCAAGGCAATCATTTTCAAAATTTGGTGGACACATTGAGTACTGCACAAAAAGTGGATGTATTCAAACAGAATGTCGCTATTCTATGGGACACCAAAAGAAAATTGCTGGGGGGAAAATAAGTCTTCAATGTTCATCAGAATATAATATTGTGATAAGAAACTCTACATGACTTTCAGATATTGGATCCTGTGGGATTTGCATCTGAGCAAACATGATTGGGCTTGTGTTGATGCCTATCAATGGTTCTGTCTTTCATAGAAAACAACTTTCCTAGGCATATTATTAGTACCAGAATGAATATAAGTAGATTTGCAGAATATCTTCCCACATGCAACTGTTTCAGGAAAGAATTACCAACTTGTTAAAATAGGACATACCTTTGATATGCAGGGTCCTTCTTTTTTAATTCCAATCAGTTTACCAGATGACCTGAAATAACAGAGTGGTTTGCATGAATGGTATTATGAAAATGTATTCTACCTTATAGTGGCAATAGCAAGTTACATGCAGGAATTGCTGGAGCACTTTATTTCATTTTTTTTAATCCTACCTTTTGGCCACATGCTCACTATTGAAATGTACATTTCACTGTTGAAAATGTAATAAACGTGAAATAAGTTGCTGTGCAAGAGCTGCATGCAAATGTCAGATTACAAAGTATAATCTAACGAGATCCATCAGAGAAATAAAAAGTTGCAACCCGCCCCCCCCCCCCAACAAAAAAAAACAGTTTTTATTTGTGGGTTGTTGTAGGTTTTTCCAGGCTATATGGCCATGTTCTGGAGGCAATTTTTCTCCTGACGTTTTGCCTGCATCTGTGGCAAGCATCCTCAGAGGTAATGAGGTCTGTTGGAACTAGGAAAAATGGGTTTATATATCTGTGGAATGACCAGGGTGAGACAAAGGACTTTTGTTTGCTGGGGTTAGCTGTGAATGTTTCAGCTGATCACCTTGATTTGCATTCAATGGCTTGGAAGCGCCTGGGGGGAATCTTTTGTTGAGGGTGATTTCATGTGCCTGTTTGTTTCCCCTCTGTTGTTTTGCTGCTGTAATTTTTGAGTTTTTTAAATACTGGTAGCCAGATTTTATTCATTTTCATGGTTCTTTCTTTCTGTTGAAATTGTCCATGCTTGTGGATTTCAATGGCTTCTCTGTGTAGTCTGACATGGTGGTTGTGAGAGTGGTCCAGCATTTCTGTGTTCTCATATAATATGCTGTGTCCAGGTTGGTTCATCAGGTGCTCTGCTATGGCTGACTTCTCTGGTTGAAGTAGTCTGCAGTGCCTTTCATGTTCCTTGATTGTTTGGGCGCTGCGTTTGGTGGTCCCTATGTAGACTTGTCCACAGCTGCATGGTACACGGTAGACTCCTGCAGAGGTGAGTGGATCCCTCTTGTCCTTTGCTGAACGTAGCATTTGTTGGATTTTCTTGGTGGGTTTGTAGATTGTTTGTATGTTGTGTTTCCTCATCAGTTTTCCTATGCGGTCAGTGGTTCCCTTGATGTATGGCAAGAACACTTTTCCTCTGGGTGGATCTTCATCTTTACTCTCGTGGCTTGTTCTTGGTCTTGCAGCTCTTCTGATGTCTGAGGTGGAGTATCCATTGGCCTGTAGAGCCCAGTTGAGGTGGTTCAGTTCATCTTGGAGGGGGTGGGGTTCACAGATTCTTTTTGCACGGTCTGCCAAAGCTTTAATGGTGCTTCTTTTTTGACTTGTGTGATGGTTGGAGTTTTTATGTAGATATCTATCTGTGTGTGTGGGTTTTCTGTAAACGGTGTGACCCAATTGTTGATCTGGTTTGCGGATGACTAGGACATCTAGAAAAGGCAGTCTTCCTTCATTTTCTTTTTCCATGGTGAATTGGATGTTTGGGTGGATGCTCTTCAGATGTTCCAGGAACTTGTTGAGTTCTTCTTCTCCATGGCTCCAAATAGTGAAGGTGTCATCCACATATCTGAACCATATGTGGGCTTTTTGGTTGCTGTTTCCAGGGCTTGTTTTTCAAAGTGTTCCATGTAGAAATTAGCTATGACCGGGCTGAGAGGGCTCCCCATAGCTACTCCATCTTTCTGTTAATAGAACTCATTGTCCCACTGAAAGTAGCTGGTGGTGAGGCAATGGTGAAACAGAGCTGTGATGTCTTCTGGGAACCTCTGTTGCAGTTTTTATTTGGTTGCAAAATGCTGGCTAGGCCATAGATACAGGTCACAAGTATCTATGAAGTATGGTTTAGAACACGGATAGGGATCATGTGACCTTCCAGATATTGTTGGACCACAACTCCCAGCAGTTTCAGAAGTTCAGCAACTTTTGAAGGACTACATGCATCTTTCCCATACTGTAGAGGCCATATGGAGTGCTGAATGGTTTCCTGTCAGCTTGTGAGCCAGAATCTGATGAGGTTGAGAACAAACACCACAGCATCCAACCCCTTCCCTTCCCTCTGACTGTAGAAAAAGTGGACTCTATATTCCACTGCAGACATGTCAGATCCAGATCATAGGAGACAGTGCAATGGCCTGGAAGGAGCTGAGTATAAAATGGACCAAGGGAAGTAATGGATACTTGAAAATTCAGTGAAGCAACAGCATTTACTGAACAGTAGTGGGGAAGTTTGTAGCTCTCTTCAGATATTAGGCCTCCCCACCCCATTGGTTGTGCTATCTTAGGGCCTTGCCACATGCACTGCAGGAATAACTGTGGCTCACCACAGAACATGGTGATTCTGGCGGTGCCCATCCAGGGGGCATGGGTACCTATCACTTCTTGCCCTGCACCATCCCGGCTTTCCTCCTACCTCACCACATGGGAGGAAACATCACTGACCAGCTTGCCTCGTTGAGAGCAATGCAAAATGTTGCTGCTGGAGACTTTTTGTGTGGTGACTCCAGTTCTATAGCAGTTTTGCCCCAGAGTCACCCTGGAAGAACTTCTCCAGTGTGTGGTGGAAGCCTATGATTTCTGAGGCAAAGCTGCTGCAGAATGGAATTGCCACTGAAATTTGCTCCATGGGAAGAGGTCATTAAGCTATCCAAAAGTAATAGACATGTCACTTATCACAATGAGAAATTTCCCAGTCATAAAACCCTTTAGCCTCTTTTCAAACATGGAGAGGCACTGAGCTCATCACATGAGTTAAACTACTTCTGGCAGTCATGCATAACCCTCTGTGGTTGAAAAGAGGCAGAAGTGTCATGAAAGGAGGGAACTCTGGCATTCAACCTAATCAATTGAGAAATTTCCTCCTCATAGCCTCTTTTCAAGCATGGAGAGGCACTGAGTTTATCACATTTTCCATGGCAGAAATGAGGCAGAAATGTCCTGAAAGGAGGGATTTCTAAACACGGGCCAGAAATTGTGTTCAGAGATCCTACCTCCTAACGCCTTACCTTTTAGTTATGGTTCCAACTGCAAAACTGCAAAACAGGTGAGGGGGGAACCATCAAAGTTTCTCATGCTAGTTCATCCCCCAGCTATCAGCATTCTCTGCAGCACTGTCTCTTGTATCAAATGAGGTTTGGGCAGAACAATATTATCCCAAGGAAAGACATGGTTTTAACCTGGAGCACTGTCTCTTGTATCATATGGAATTTGTTGCAGAACAATATTATCCTATGGAAATAAGTGGATTTAAATTGGTGCCAGTCTCCTTTAATGTAAGGGGCTCTGGGAAGAGCAAGGGATTTCTTGGCTTTTGGATATTATTGTTTCTCCTGATTTTTTTTAAAAAGTAATACTGACTGTGTAATAATGTAAGATGAATGTATTGCCAGCTTTTAGGTTTCCACGTGTGAGCATGATGGGGAGGCAGAACTCAAAACGTTATTGGTGATGATATAAGAGGGGCGATTCTCTACAATAAAAGGATAGTCACCTGTGCTTTCCCATCTCAGTGTGATTCTATGGAAGTTGACCTATTACTGACTAATGATATCAATCATGTGTCTTATTTCACAACTAACTTCAGGCCTGAGGGCTGCCTAAGCAAAATTTTCCCTGAGAAATCCCTATCCCCTCTCAGTGGGTCCTAGTGAGCCTAGTGACAGGAAAGACCATGTTCAGCAGCCTGGAGTTGAGAGATCTAGCCATTGTTCATTTCCACAGTGCCACATGGTGATGTTGCTGGAGGGAATTGAAATGCCTAGATCAACTGCCTGAGTTATTTAGAGTACCAAACTAGAATGCATCTTTCAAGAAGGTGAACTCAGGGTAGACAATAGATATAATGTCAGCCTGACCAAAATAATGACACTTTCTCTTGTGCTATAATATAGATGGGTTCCTGAATGAAGTGCATACAACAAAAATACTGGAATCTTATAAGAGACATCCCAGGATGTGAGAGACCCCCATTGATAGCACACAAAAGGACTCAAAATATTGGTGATATATTAGTACACTCAGATGTAACCCACAGAACTCGGACCCCTAGGTCCAATTTGGTCGGCAATTACCGTTGTGGGCACTGTTCAGTATGTTCGCTATTGGTGGAAACTAAAATTCTCATACATCCACACCTATCATTTGAGTTCAAATTTTCCCATTTTGTGACCTGCACCTCAAAGGGATTAGTTTATTTACTTATTTGTAGTTGCAATCTTTCCTATGTGGGTCAAACTCGCAGAGAGATAAGATCGAGGATAATTGAACACAGGAGTAAAATCAGAAATCATTCCAGGGAGTCTATACTTTACTAACACTTTGATGATTTACACCATAGCCCAGAATCCTTTAAGTTCCATATCCTTGAAATGGTTACTTATTCCCAGCAAATTGATTTCTAAAATAACCTTCTACGGAGAGAAGCATACTGAATTTTTAGATTAAGGACAGAATACCCACATGGTCTGAATGAACTAAATTTGTACAACTGTTACATATAATCTCTGGACCTTAATTATACTATACATCCCTACTTAAATACATGGAGAGCACCCACAGTGCCATCTGGTGGTTGCTGTTCACAACCCTTACTCCTATGGCTCTAACTGAGCTTCCCCTTTTCACCTGAAGTAGTTCTTTTCCCTTAAATAGAGGGAACCCACAGATCTTTCCCATACTCGCAGCCAGAACTCAACATAGAGCAGAGTATCATGTGAGTACCCTCTTAATGTGTAAAATACTTTAATATTTCTACAAAATAATTATTTTCAACATAGTAATTTTCAAACTCTCATAGCCACATTTCATTCCTTTGATGTAGATACCACCGAGCTAAAAAATCTGTATCACCTGAGGAGAACAATCTCTCAAGTGTATAATTTTGTAAGTACTCAAATGAGTTATAACTTATGGTATTTAATGGATATGTTCAACAAATATTGATGTAATAACAAGTTTGAAGACTTAACTAATTTCTTAATGTGTAAAATACTTTAATATTTAGTATTTCTACAATATAATCATTTTCAACATAGTAATTTTCAAACTCTCATAGCCACATTTCGTTCCTTTGATGTAGATACAATTGACCCAAAAAAATTGTATCCCCTGAGGAGAACAAATTCTCAAGTGTATAACTTTGTAAGTACTTAAATGTGTTGTAACTTATGGTAGTTAATGGATATGTTCAACAAATATTGTTGTAATAACAAGGGTGAAGACTTAACTAATTTCTTTGAGTACATTTCAGCATAAGATGTTTTATATGTATGCAACTGGAGTAAAACATTGATTTATACATATTTCAGTCCACCAGAAGAAGGCCTGAAGTAGGCCGAAACCGGTTGTGGACGACTGATCCACAAGCTACTTATAAGAAGATACGACTGTACTAAAAATTTGCACGATATTGTTTGTTGTCGCTGTGAGGTTTAACAGTGCAGCATGTTTATATATTGTTGTTGAATTATATTATTTTTGTTGTATGCACTTTCTCTTGTGCCCAAGGATGCTAAGCATTTCACTTGCTAGATCTGGGCTAGATCAGGAAAAGGCCAGACTTTATGGGGCCAAGGGAGGGATGCCATCTGCCCTTCTCTTTTTATTTTGTTTTTAGTGAAGAAGCATAGGTCCATGCAACATGTCTATAATGAGTTGCTGTTGTCTTAACACCGCCCATTTTTTATGTTAAACTTACCAAATTTTTGCACACAGGAAGCATGTGTTTGAATAAGTGATGCTATCAGTGCCACACACAGGTGCATGTATTTGGGGACAGGCTGCCTTTTTGCCCTTTGGTGGTTCTGGAAACTTACTGCAGTCAACCTGTAAATACATTGCACACAATGTAAATAAATGCAATTTAATGGACATGATTTTTGAGCAAGCTTTGTTAACCACCTGCAGCAAGCTGGGAACCACAAGTACTTTTAGAGGATAACTACAGGTCCCTTGCCTGTCCTGCTTTCACATCACACCCTTCACTGGACTTCAAAGAAGAGAAATAAATGGGTCCTAGACTGAACTCTCTCTAAAAGCCAAGATGATGAAACCCAGGCTGCAGTACTTTGGCCATGTCACAAGGAGGAGGGACTCACTAGAAAGGTCAGTAATTCTTGGAACAGTGGAGAGCAATAGGAAAAGAGGAAGGCTACCTTCCAGATAGTTGGACCCAATCAGAGAAGTCAGGGCCCTGAACCTGCAAGACCTGTGCATTGAGGATAGGGTGAATTTGAGACATTCATAAGGTCACCAGAAGTCAAAGTTGACCTGAAGACAATTAACAGAAACCATAAACCCATTGGGACCTACACAGTCTTGGGAGTTGTTCCAGAGTGAGAGCATAGGAAAGCATTTTCTTTTTGTATTGCTCTCTTCCCACTAGATGGCAAATAATTGGCAGGGGACAATCAACACAAAAGACAAATCATTGTTTAATTGTTGATTTCAAATTTAAAAAGAAGGATACTTACGCATTCTCCTTTGTGGGCTAAGTCTATTTTGGCTCCACCTCTAGAAAAAGAAACCTGAGTTAATTAAAAAAATTGGCCAAAGGTGTGAGGCATTGAGAAACAAAGCTTGCCCCTTAACCCCCGAAATAACGAGACAAACACCAATGTATGGATTCAAATTGGGCAACTTTTATTGAATGTTACCTATTTAACTTTACCTGAACTAAACTAAGTGTCAAGGAACTTGGTGGCAAGCTGAGGCAGCGTCCCCAGCTACTTAATGTGTGATGTCTGTGTGCCCTGGATCCCCAACCGGGCAACCTGAAGGTAAAATCTGGAGAAGCCTGTATTCGATTCTTGATATCAGCTCCTCTCTTTACTGGGCCAATTGATGTCCCCTCACCCATTTGTTGACTTCTAGGTGAGTGTTTGTTGTACCGTGCCCCCCACCCTTAATGGGTGCCATGTGTATACCTCCATGTCAGTGTTTTCCTGAACTATTTATGCTGGCCTAATTAAACCAAACCACTCCATCTAGCCCCTAATAACAGTATAGGGTAGGCGAAAAAACCCCCCAGAACATGAGAGGCAAAAAATTCCTACCCGGCTCCAACGGGCAACCAAATATACTGTCAATGGGCGGGAGTGGCGGGCGAAAGGTCTGACAAGACTGAAGGGCAGAGGCTGGCTCACGTGGTTAGCCAGCCCCCGCCCCTTTTCCAGGAGGTTCTAAATGGAACCTCCCATTCTCTTTCTTCGGGGGGTGGGGCAAATCGCTCTCCCCACCAACTTCGTTGGTGCGGAGAGTCCCATATAGTGCAATGTGACAATACATGCTCTTGGGCATTTATTTTCAGAGGTTGTTAAGAGAAAACTTGATGACATTGCTCAGAGCAGCCGTGGTTGGCATTTCATGTATCACCCTTAAGATACACATGCTAGTAATCTCAAGGTTGAACTTCTGCAATATGCTATACATTCGGCTACCTTAGTAACCAGTTTGGAAATTCTGAATAGTTCAAAATAAGGCAGACAGATCAATTACATGAACATTTAGAAGTGAGCATATTACACCTATACTAAAGTCACACCACTGGGTCTCAAGTTCTGGTCTGGAACCACCAGGATTTGCAACAAGCCTGATCTGGAATCCCTGCCATTTATCATATTCTGTTTTTTTCTAAAGTGTGCAATGCAATAATGTTTAGTGGGATAGTTGTGTTGTCCTTGGGTAGATGTATTTTTTTTCTGATTTGAACAATGAGTACCCAAACATCCTCAATTTACTAATTTGATGTATTTGTGGTCTAAATCTACCTGTTATTTCTAACTGGAGAAGATGTAATAAATCAATGGAGCTTCCCTAAATGTTAACTTACTGTATTTTATAAATGGATGAATGAGATGATTTTATACTGTTTTATTGTGGTGGTTTTTAATTGTTTTACATTGTTTTAATGTTTAATGTTTTAACATTTTTATTTATATTTTTGTTGTTTATCTAATGTCAATTTGCTTTGATTTTTTTCCTGTTGGGATCTAATGGTTGCAAGTTGTAACCTGCCCTAAGTACCCCCTTGGCGATTGGGAAGGATGAGATATATATGTTTGAAACAAACAAACAAACAAATAAATAAATGTTTAGGCATTGGTTTTTTGTGAGTTGATTTGGGTCTTACTCCAGGAAAAAGTAACATATAAAATAAATGAATGTGTGTGTGTGTGTGTATGTGTACACACACAGATACAGATCTGATCTATGTTAAATATTTAGAGTTTCCCATTGTACCTTTTGGAAATTATGCATTGGTTAACATTTTTCATGATTTCACTAACTCCTGCCTAATGAGCTGTGCATGAAAGTACCTGGCTGTGGTGCAGCTAGTTAGTAGCCAGCTGCATTAAATCACTACTGACCAAGAGGTTATGAGTTCAAAGCCAGCCCGGGTCAGAGTGAGCTCCCAATCATTAATAGTCCAGCTTGCTGTTGACCTATACAGCCTGAAAGACAGTTTCATCTGTCAAGTAGGAAATTTAGGTACTGCTTTATGTGGGGAGACTAATTTAAGTAATTTATGGCACCATAAAACCTTACAGCAGCATGTGTAAGAATGAGGAAGTACTCCATCAAGGACTCAGTGTCACAAGTAGATAGTGAAGTGGCAGCTCCCCCTGTGGCCAGAATTGAGCATACCCACATGAAGTCAGAAAGCTGGAATGTTAAATTGCCTCTGTGTCTGTCTATATATGTTGTATGTCTAAATGGCATTGAATGTTTGCCATGTATATGTGCATTGTAGTCTGCCCTGAGTCCCCTGCCAGGTGAGAAGGGTGGAATATAAATACTGTAAATAAATAAATAAATAAATAAATAAATAAATAAATAAATGGTTCTCACAGGATTTCATCACACAGCGAACATTCATTGCCATAAGTCTTGCCATCAGTTCCACAGACTGGGTCACTTTGCAGAGTGCAGCTTATTGGAGTTTGTTGCTCTTGTTGCTGCTGTTGTTCCTGCTGTTGTGGTTTATACTTTTTGCAATTAAGCTAAAAAATAATGGCAATGAAAAAGATTAGAATACATAGTACCACATTTCAGGAAAACTGTTTTTGTCCACAAGACAGAAAAGACCCCAATCTCTTCTTAATTAGTAAATATATTGTTTTACCATTGACTATCCTTACTTAGTCTTCTAGGATTTGTAGTCCACCCACTTCTCGAGGGCCACATTTTGCTCATTCTTGACACACAGCGTAATATGTTTTTCAGAGGTATTATTAAAACATAGCTTTAAAAAAAACTCCTTGTATCACCTTAGTCAAATAAAGTGATGTTTCAATAATTGAACAGATACGTGACATAATAAAAGATTGTGTTATGTGAAGTATTGTTTGATCTGTTTCTCCATATTGTTCCACGAAGGATCAAATCTGTTAAATAAGAATGGAAATTGCTATAAAGCTCCCCTCCCCTTAAAAATGATTCTTTTTGTGTGTGTGCTTTAAACATAATCTTTGAAAGTGTGTTTTCCATTTTTTCAAAATAAAAAAAAGATCAGAAACATGTTTTTTAATGTCTGTGTTAAAGGACCGGAGCTGTCCAGCATCAATTATATGTTTGTCTGCTCAGAAGAACGATCTGTTATTTTTCTGTGGCGTTTAATGCTTTATTTCTGTTTTATGAAATTCCAGTATTAACAGGCCTTTTATGTATGGTGACATCTTTTTCTACAATTCATTCAGCATCAACTTTCATGTTCTGTTTTATGAATTTTTGAACCATGTTAAAATGCTATGGCTGAATTCAGTCTATACTTTCCTGTGCAAGCAATCGGGCTGTTTCAAAATGACAGTTACAAAATATATGAATTTACCTTATATGCTGAAGTTCCTAAACCTGAAAATAAAATTCAGAAAAGCATTACAACACCATTGAGAAGTGTTTAGTATACCTCACAAGTATTTGGGATATTTCACTTGAGGAGCAAACAGTCTTTAGGTTTAGTAATCTGGAGGGGATGTATTAAAACAAGATGAATCCCTTTTATGAGTCATGTCAGAACCCAAAACACTAACACCACCACCCAAAATGAAATAAAAATTCATGTATCATGATATCAATGATATAATTTTGGAAATTCAATAGGATATTGTTTTTCAGGCCCTTAGAAATTTAGTTTTGTCCTGCTTGGCCAGTAGATAAATCTGCCATTGATTACCAAACAAAGTAATGATTCTTATCATAAGTCCTTTGTCAATGAGTCCTTCAAAGTTGTCTCTCCCATGTTAAAGGGCTTTCATAGACTTTTACCATTCCTGATGGCAAATCAGGGAAAGGAAACAGTTTTGGATCCACAGGTCCCAAGGCTTCTTTTGACCTGCATCATGTTCTTCCTTTATGTCATCACCACCAGAGTGCAATAGCAAAGCAACAATGGTGCTGGAAGTTTCCATCAATACAATAGGGATAGAAGCATTTTCTCCCTGCTTCTCTCTGCTGCCAGCTCATAGTCCCCTGAAGCCCATCACATGATGCAGGGCTGCTTCTGGTGGGATTCTGTAGGACTCCATCCCAGCAGCATTGCCACAATGGAGGCCAGAGGAGTTGAATGTATACCCAGCTCTTCAGAGGAGAAAGCCAGAGGAGCTGAAGAGGAAGTGGGGGAACAGCAGGGAAGGGAGACTATGAGCCCCAAAGGGAGGTGACAGACCCTTACAGGTCATTCCACTGCCCCATGACTGCCCCACGATTGCCCCTGCCATCCACTACTTTACCCCTGTCAATCTAATGAGATCCTGAGTTTCATCCAATTTGGATCACTGTAGTGCACTCTACAGGGTGCGCAAAGGGTTTGGACAAAAGAGCTGTGGCCAGATTGCTAACAGGGGCTGGCTAACGGGAGCAAGCAACCCCTTTGTTGCAGAAGCTCTATTGACTGCCAGTTGGTTCCCAGGCACAATTCAAAGTGCTGAGTATGACCTGTAAATCCATTTATGGTTCAGGTCCAAGCTACTTGGCTGACCACATTTCAATGTACAAACCTGTCCATGCCCTGAGATCCTCAGGAGAGGCCCTTCTCTCGGCACCACCTCCATCACAAACCCGGTTAGAGGAATGAGAGTTTTTTAGATTTTAAATTATGTATTGCATTTTTTTTTAGTGTTAACAACTTCAATATATAGTAGAGAGGTCAGGGTAATTTTCTACGTTCTATTTCACTGATTCCCCTTTGAGAAGATTGGAGGATACAGAGGCTATAAATGGAAGGAGGAAGTTTCAAAGTCACTTGTTATTTCCCTTTATGGACATCTGCACTGGCTACAAACCTCTACAACAGGTGAATTGTTTCCATTGAGTCCAAATGATGGTTCACCCTATTATTACCAGAGAAGTCTCCATGCCATTCTCTGTAAATCTCATGGCCTTGTCCATACCAGCATTTTGATCCACAAGTTAGTCAGTATTAACCTAGTCAATCAAATATTTCCAATAGTGCTGATAGAAATGAGTGACATCTGTGGCAGTCTCCACTGGCTCCAGAACTCTACAATTGTTTC